TCCTTATTATTGGGAACCCCAAAAAGGTACCCATAATTTTGGGAAAACCCTAAACCCTAAACCCTAAATGGTAGCTTCCAGTTTCGTTTCCATTATCCCTACAGAACCCCTATAAACCCCCTTTAAAGGTACCCATAATTTTGGGAATCCCCCATATCAATTGCAGCTTCCTGCGACCCGTTTTGTGGGACCTAGGCTTCCTGGAAGCTGTGCCGTAGCATCGCAACGATAAACCTGTGGGTTTAGGGTTTAGGGTTTAGGTCTGTGTGTAGTAGGATCCCCCTTAATAATGGAGAATCAAATGAAAAAGATGGAAAATGAAATGGAAGCCCTAGGTCCCTTTAAAGGGGTACATAGGGATATTGCCCTGATAATGGAGAATCAAATGGAAAAGAAAATGGAAACTGAAATGGAAACTGGGATTATATAGGGGATTATAGGGGTTATAGTCTATACATGTGCGTGGTTGTCAAAATTATGGTCCCCGTTAGGGTAATATTAGGGTTATATTGGGGTTAGACGGGGGAGAATGGAAAAGAAAATGGAAACTACTATAATGGGTTATGTGGGTGGTTGTCAAAATTATGGTCCCTTTTTGGGTCCTTATTCTAGTACGGCACCTAATATTTAGGGTACCCAAAAAGGGACCATAATTTTGACAACCACCCATGTGTAATGGGCTTTGCAGCTGTGAGTAACTGGACAAGGCTGTCAGAGGTGTGTTCTGCAAGGAAATATACACGAAGTACATGGAAGATTGCTGGCGCTACATCATTGGGCCGCTTCATGTCTAAGGCGTCTGACAAAGCGTGCTGACAGTAGATTGCACGCTAATCTCACCAAAATGCCCATATGCAGCGGGTCTGGGAACAAATGTGTTCACAACTCGAAAGATTTTCCAGGGTGATTCCCTAAACATCTCTGTACAGTGTCCTTCTAGAATCCCTAGGTAGCCCCCACATAACCCGTACGTACTTTGCGTACTTTTCGAATCCCCCAAAAAACAACAGAAACGGTTCACAAATCATAGCTTGGAAAGCAACAAATCCGCAGACAAGGCCTTGCTCACAAGACGGTCCACGGCCGCATCCAGCTCCACAACCGCTGCTTCCTGCTACCAGGTATGCACTTCTAGGGAGTGATGGCAAGTCACATGGAAACGAACATGGAATATGAAATGAAAACTGAAATTCCGGTCCCTTTCTGGTGGCCCGACAAGGGACCCTAATTTCTGACAAACTACCATGTCAAGATTTTGGGCCTTTGAATTTTGGCGGGCTTGGGGATTTTGGGGTGTGGAGTTTAGGGCTTAGGATTTGGAATGTCAAGTGCCTTGGGAAGCCTGAACCATAGATCCCTAAAGCCCAAAACCACCCCAAAAAACTAAACCCCCACACACCTCAACCCTAAAACCCTTAAACCCCTAAACTTATAAACCCTAAACTCATAAACCCTAAGCCCCAAAACCCATTATCCCCAAACCCTAAACCCCGAAACCCCGAAACCCCGAAGTTTAGGGGTTAGGGTCTGGAGTTGGGCCCTGGGCTGCGCTTGACACCAGAGCCAAGGTCTGTGCTTGTGCAATTCTGGCTTGTGACCCCATGCAACCCTATATAAACCCTGTCAAGGGACACGTTTTGAGCAACTCCCGATTGTTGACCCTAAACCCTACACCCTAAACCCTAAGCCCTGAACCTGAAACCCGGGTCCCTGGACCTGAAAGCCTAAACCCTGAATCCTAAACCGCAAATCCCGAACCCTAAACCCTAAACCTCAAACTCTAAACCCTAAAGCCTAAGCCCTGATAAGGGGTTAGATAGGCATCTATAGGGATTATATGGGGATAATGGAAAAGAAAATGGAAACTACTATTTAGGGTTTAGGAACCCTAAACCCCCAAACCCAAAACCCCAACCTTGGTCCGGCTCGATTCCGTTGCTGTGGTGCTGGAGTCAGGGCTTGACACCTATCCATACGTAGGATTTTGGGTTTAGGGTTTAGGGTTCCACCGCTAAAAAAATCCTGCATGGCCCTCTGAGTACCTTATACTTTGGGAATTATGGTATTCTGGTGTAATAAGGTCATGCAGGATTTTTAGTACCAACAGTAGGTCCCATGAAAGGGGTTACATAGGGCGTAGGGTGTAGGGTTCAGGGTTTGGGGTCTTAAAGTTTGGGGTCTTAGGGTTCAGGATTTATAGAGTTCAGGGTTTAGGGTCTTAGGGCTTAGGGTCTTAGGGTTCAGGGTTCAGAGGGTTTAGGGGTTTAGGGTCCCAGGAAAGGGATTACATAGGGTTATGCTGCATAGATATCGGGGGGCTTAGCGGTTAGGGTTTGAGGGTTTAGGGTTTGGGGATATAGAGGGGAAGAGGGATATCCAAGGTATGTAAGATGGGCTTGACATGTATGGTGGTTGGAAGAAATTCTGCGCCACTGAAACACCCAACAATTCTGCACTCATTGTTGTGTAGGGTAGCCAAAGTGGCGCAAGATTTCATCCATCAACAAGATCCCAAAGCCTGTGGAAGATCAAGAAAGTAGAACCCCCCAATATGGTACCCGGGCAAATCCAGCTGGGGTTTTGGATTTAGGGTTCGGACTGTGGAAAACAACCTCTAAGCTTGGCACAAAAGCCCTTGGAGAAGATGTCCTAAAATCAAAGTTCTGCAGAAGGTTCAGGGTTTAGGAGATCTCCATGTCTTCACCTCTGCAATCACGTAAAGACTGACTTTCTGGAAACTTGGAAATCTTTTCTCATGTCCGATACTCTGTGCGATGAATCTCGCAGACAAGAGGAAGGGAATAATGGTTAGGCTCGAGAACTCGTGGTTGAGGAGGAGTGCTATCTGTCGTGTCACGTGTCTTGGGGCACGAGTAGTAATAATAGCAATAATAATAACAACAATAATGTTAGTAAAACTAATAATGATAATGTGGACAAAAATAAAAGAACAATAACGATAATAGAAAATAGAAATAATAGTAATAGTAATAATAATATCATAACAACAGTACCGATAATAGTAATACCGAGAATAACAGTAGCAACAGAATACGCACCGCTTTGGGTTTGTTCGTGGCGTATGATTTGCAGATTTAGGGTTTAGTACAGGGTTTAGGGTTTAGGGGGATGTGTGTTGCATTTTAACAAACCATTTCAGAATGGGGATTCTTTTTGGGCTGAAGGAGGCCTTGGGCCTGCGTGCGAGGCCGTGAAATCCCATGCGAACTGGCTAAGACTTAACATGAGCCCAGGGAGCCCAATACCCCTTAATTAAGGAATATAGCTTAAATTTAAATTGTATTAAGGACCCTAATAAAAACTTTTGGTAATATTCCTTAATTAAGGGGTATTGGGCTCTCTAAGTAAACCCCGAACCCTAAACAATTCCAAGGTCTGGATTAAGGACATGCGGCGACTTTTCCTCTCTAAATAAACCACCGCTTCGGAAGAGGTCGGGTGAGGTTGTTACACTTTGCCCGGCGAATACCATGACAACCAAGAAGCTCAAACCTGGAAAACAGCACAAACAAAAAACATGTCGCTCAACACCATGGGCCGCCTGTAGTGGCCAAGGTCTTTGCCAGCCCGTTTCAACTCTTAGTATTGTTACTACTATTACTGTATTCAAAATGATTACGAGTATTACTACTGTACAACAACTTCTCCTTCCCCACAACCGAAAACTGCAAACATTCTCCTTAAAGCCTCGCACTCATGCGAAACTTTCAGAACTTGCCTGTGAGACAGGGCGCGGACGCAAAGGGGACGGGGACTGTGCTGCGGGCGCCTGGCTGCGCTGGTTAGAAGAACTAGGGCTTGGATTTAGGGTTTAGGGGTTTAGAGTTTGAGGTTCAGGGTTTAGGGCCTAAGGGTTTGGGGTTCAGGGGTTAGGCGGGCTATAATTAAGCCACGAGTTTGCGAGGTTCAGCTGTAGAGCTTCAGATGGTATTTATGTGGATTGGGTAGGGATTTGCGCGGGCTAGAAGACCTTATAAGAAGTGAAAAGACCCGCGGCTGTCAGGTGAGAAGCGTTTTTTTGGTGGTTAAACCCAGTAAAATCATATTCCTTATATAAGATACTATACCCCAAAAGGAGGATATAATCTTACTCTATATTGGGTACCATAGTATCCCCAAATAGAATACTACTCAGGTCAGGTTTTGACTTCAGCCGCGGGGCAACGTAGCGCCCACATAGGCTTCATCAGGATTGTGGTTAAAAAGGGAGACCCCACTATAGACCCCAAAATATTATACTCCTTATTATAGGGACCCCCAAAAAGGTACCCCTAATTTTGGGAAACCCCCAAAGGAACTCTCGGTGAAGCAACGGAGTTACTCGTCTTGCTCTGGAGGGCGTCTTTCATGAGGACCGGGGGCTC